ACCACCAAAATGCCCCCACCAAGCCGAACCATTCCCCTTCTGCTGTTTATGTACGCTTTTCTCTGATCTCTGATGACAATTTCCAGCTCCGCTGACGACATTTTCGAGCTTATCCGTCAATGACAGGCTCGTGACTTTGACGAACATCTGTTCGGTAAGCAACGAATAATACATGATCCAACTACTGGTACTTCGCCCCCGCAGCCTCCTGTCCTGCTCTTATTCTCATAGCAATTAATCAAGCAGCAACAGCGCTTCGATCCACGTCTTATACACCTTGGCCCGTTGTCCAGCTTCACGTTGTCTTTACGACAAAATAGTCCATATTCAGGTTTTGTTCCCGTAGAAAATTAGGCGAATCATCACCCACACTTGGTAAGTTCAGGCAATTAAATCGATTCATGGCAGGATTTTTTTCGTGGATGACAAAAATAGGAAATAATCAAGTAGCAGGTTGAGTCCACTAGAAAACGCAACCTACGAACGCGACCAAATACCGAGTTAAGCAAAGAAATATTTGGGGCTGGTGAAGTTGCCACAGGGCATAGCATCGTTGGAATAAACCCGTGACGGGGTCGCATATAGTTGTTGAAGAAGGGGTCGAAAGAATAAATCGGCTGGGAGAAGGTCATCTGACACCAACATTTCTTCTCAGTGCTATACCCTGAGTATGGAAGCAGTACCACTTACCAGGTCACGGGTCAATTCTGTGTCGTCTCTCGCCCGAGCCGGACAAGCCTTCTTTCCTCGCCTCTTGGAGTAGGAATACTCCCAGACGAGCCTGGTAGCCCAGAACTGCTACCAGGCTCGTCTGGGAGTACGGAAACATCTCTTTGTACACGCTCAGCCTCTGTGCGCCATTATATGGACTAAATTGCCCTCAAAACACTGCTGTGATCCTGAAAGGGAGTAGAATGCATGGCGCATCCCAAAGAGACCGACCGAGGAATGAAGCATTATACTGCTAGTTTTCGGAAGAACGAATGTGAGTCGCGTAGAAACTGGAACTGGCTTGTATGAAACCTAGTGTGAAAATGGTCATACTTGGAATTTTTTGTTCAAAAGCACTGAGAGCTGAGCACATAATTTACTGCAGTAGTTGACTTATCTAAACCTGAATATGGACTATTTTGTCGTAAAGACAACGTGAAGCTGGACAACGGGCCAAGGTGTATAAGACGTGGATCGAAGCGCTGTTGCTGCTTGATTAATTGCTATGAGAATAAGAGCAGGACAGGAGGCTGCGGGGGCGAAGTACCAGTAGTTGGATCATGTATTATTCGTTGCTTACCGAACAGATGTTCGTCAAAGTCACGAGCCTGTCATTGACGGATAAGCTCGAAAATGTCGT